AGTGGTGGGCTGGCAGCAGGAGCTTCGGGCATATGCTGACAGCAAACTAGCCAATGTGCTGTTTGCCAGGGAGCTTGCCACCCAGCTTGAGGGCACTGGTGTTACCTGCTATGCGGCCCACCCAGGTGAGGCCTGACTGACTGCTCTTAATTGCCTGTCATCTGTGTACCGTACTGTGCTAATCCCCAGTCTGTTGAGTCACAGGATGGAAACATGGTCAGGGAGAAACCTGTTCCTTCCTGATCTTGGAACCAGGCTCTCTCCTCACCTGTTTTCTCCCTTTCCTACCTGCAAGCTTGGATGCTGACCAGGTGGGGAATAAGAACAAGACCTTAGGGTTGGGGGTTTAGCTCAGTGGTAGAGCGCTGGCCTAGCAAGGCCCTGGGTTCGATCCTCAGCTCAAAAAAAAAAAAAAAAAAAAAAAAAGAACAAGACCTTGATAGTAATCCTGAGGCTGGGGCTGCATTTCAGTGGTAGAACACTTGCTTTAGTATAGGTAAGACCCTGAGTTTGTGCTGTTTGCTTGCTTACTTGGGTTTGGGGTATTTGCTGGTTTTGTTTTGTTTTGAGACAGGGTCTCACTATGTAGCCTTGGTTGTCCTCAAACACTCAGAGATTTACCTGGTTCTGCTTCCAGAGTGCTGGGATCAAAGGTGTGGGTCACCATGCCTGGCTTCGTTTTGTTTTTTTTTGTTTTGTTTTTGTTTTTTTGTTTTTTCGAGACAGGGTTTCTCTGTGTAGCTTTGGAGCCTGTCCTGGAATTTGATCTGTAAACCAAGTTGGCCTCGAACTGACAGAGATCTGCCCGCCTCTGCCTCCCGAGTGCTGGAATTGAAGGTGTGCGCCACTACCGCCCAGCAAGTTTTTGTTGTTGTTTGTTTTTTAATGTGTGTATATTAGTGCTTTTTGGGCATATGTGTGTGTGGTACCTGTATAGGCCAGAACCCCTTAGAACTGGAGTTAGGGATGGCTGTGGGCATCCATGTGGGTGCTGGAAACCAACTGGAAGAGCAGCCAGTACTCTTAACCACTGAGCCATCTCTTTAGCCCCTGGTTCATTGGTTTTTGTTTTATTTTTTTTGAAATACTGTTTTACTCTGGAGCTCAGGTTGGCCTGACATTCTATGTAGCTCAGTTAAGCCTCAAATTCACCCTATTTGTCTTGCCTCATGCTTAGATTTCAAGTGTAGGCCACCATATCAAGCTGAGACCCTGGGTTTGATCACCAACACCATCAAAAAAAAAAAAGTTATGATGGTGATGATGATAAATTACCATTCAGTCAAGGAGCCCTTTCTTTGTGGTAGCCACTATACAATAGGCATTATGGTGCTGGGACAAAAGCAGTGAGCCAACCTTGGTCTCAGTTCCATCTCCAGGACCTAAAAATTATGCAAAGGAAAATAAAGACCTGCCAGGTGTGGTGGCACAAATGTTTAATCCCAGCACTCAGAGCTCTATAGTGGGAACCCTGTCTCTCTGGACAAAAACCAAAACCAAAGACTTTACCCTCCTATCCAGTGACAGGTGATAATAAAATGATGAGGAAGGGAGGCATAAGAGGGGTCTAGAGTTCTCAGGGTGTTTTGTTTTTGTCAGTGACAGTCAAGGAAGACCTTTGTAAAGGGAAGAATTGAACACAGATCTGAATGAGATAAAGGGATCTTTGAAGCTCAGAAAGCAGATAGCAGACACAAAGGCAGAAGTTCCTGGTGTGCTGTAGGATGGCTGTGAGGAGAACAGAGAGAGTGGGATGATGGGGAAGAGACGAGGTCATAGAGATGGGCTTGAGTTTGGAGGGTTTGAAGGTCCACTTAACTGTTTTACTCTGAGTAAAATAACTGGTCTTTAAAAGACAGTGAATCATCCTCATCTTTAGACACTAGGTTACAATAGTCGAACAACATCTGTCCTGCCTAGCTCTCCAAACTGCATTTGAGAAAACCATTGCCCAACATCTGTCCTGCCTAGCTCTCCAAACTGCATTTGAGAAAACCATTGCCCAACATCTGTCCTGCCTAGCTCTCCCAACTGCATTTGAGAAAACCATTGCCCAACATCTGTCCTGCCTAGCTCTCCCAACTGCATTTGAGAAAACCATTGCCCAACATCTGTCCTGCCTAGCTCTCCCAACTGCATTTGAGAAAACCATTGCCCAACATCTGTCCTGCCTAGCTCTCCCAACTGCATTTGAGAAAACCATTGCCCAACATCTGTCCTGCCTAGCTCTCCAAACTGCATTTGAGAAAACCATTGCCCAAGGCTTCTTTGTAATCACAGTGACAATACCACTAGGAACCTTTATTAAGCTTTTATTACAATTACAGATCCCTGGCGTTCAAAACAGTGGCTGATATACCCTAGGTGTTTGAAAACTGATGGTTAAAGCCAGGCCTTGGTGGCGCATGCCTTTAATCCCAGTACTGGGGAGGCAGAGGCAGGCAGATCTCTGTGAGTTGGAGGACAGCCAGGGCTACACAGAGAAACCCTCTCTCGGGAAGAAAAACAACAACAACAACAACAAAAAAGATGAATGAATGATGGAGACTGGGCAGCAGAGGACACAGCCTGACCACAGCCTGGGGGATGGGAATGTACAGGCCATTAGCATGGTAGGAAGGCTAACGGTAGGAAGTGGGTTAAGTCCCCTTGTGGAGTCCCTGAATACCTGGTGGATACTAACCTGCTTTCCCTGGAACCAGAGTTGCCATCTGCCTTTAGCTGTTTTTCCCCTGCTGTTCCCTGGGGCCCCACGGCGTTCCTCCACAGCTCTTCTTTCTTCCTGCCCACAGGACCTGTGAACTCGGAGCTCTTCCTGCGTCACCTCCCTGGATGGCTGTGTCCCATTTTGCGCCCACTGGCTTGGCTGGTACTCCGGGCACCTCAAGGGGGTGCCCAGACACCCCTGTACTGTGCTCTGCAGGAGGGCCTTGAGCCCCTCAGTGGGAGATATTTTGCCAACTGCCATGTGGAGGAGGTCTCCCCAGCTGCTAGAGATGACCAGGCTGCCCACAGGCTGTGGAAAGCTACCAAGAAGCTGGCAGGGCTTGAGCCTGGAGAGGATGATGATAGCCCTGATGAAGAGCCTCGACCTCAGGATCTAGGGGCCCCATCTTCTCTGAATGCCCCCAGCTCTGAGAAAACCACAGTTTCTGGACCTTCTCAGAGCTATCAGGGCTCACCGGACTTGTCTAAATTGACACAGCCAAGAATTCAGATGCAGGCTGAGTCTACACACTAACTTTCCTAACCCGTAGGCTAGAATGCTTCTGTAGTGCAGTAGGACCCCTCAAAACCTCAGCTGTGTGCCTGGCCACTGAGGGGTTGCCACATTTACCTTGGTGGTTAAGTTTTGGGACCTCTTATGTCCTAAACAGCCCTTTTCCTAGTGAAAGGAAATAAGTACTACTTCCTAAAACGGACAGTAATCCCAGATCCAGGGATGATATGTCAAGACACTGTATTGCTTTGGAATTTGATTTTCAGGTTTCTGGGCTCTTCCCTGAATAATGATCCGCCCCGGGGAAGGGCTGGGGACTTTGCCGCTGATGCACTGCTGATGTTGAACATTACTGAACCAAGGAGCCCTTTTGCAACTTTCTAGCTAGGTAGTTCATTAACCCCCATTTTACCGAGGCGGGACTAGGAAAGGATTCAGGGCAGAGACTGGTATTTGAGCCCCGGGGTCTGCTGTTTGGCAGGTGCCCGAGGGGACGCAGCTCAAGGAGTTACTACTACTGATGGGCCCCAAAGGTGCTAGGGGGGCCAAGCCCCCTGGAATAAAGCGAGTTGACTACAGACGCGCAGGCTCCCGCCTCTCTCCCCTCGCCGGCCCCGCCCTCCGCCGCCACACTTCCGGCGGGGCGGCAGCCGCGGAGGGGCGTAGGCAGGCGACGCGGGGGGAGGCGGGATAGGCTGGGCGCGGCCGGTGCTGCGGACCCGCCACAGCCCTCCGGGTCACTGCAGACCGAGGGCCTGCTCGCCTACCTGCGGCGCCATGGGCAATTGCCACACGGTAGGGCCCAACGAGGCACTGGTGGTCTCAGGTGAGGCGACGGGGAGGGCGGGGGAGGCCGGCCGAGGGTGCGGGACCCCGGGGCCGCACCGAAGCCAGCCCCCGGAGAGCGGTATCCCTCCCCACGGCGTGGCCTCGGGCGCTCAACCCTTCCTCTGCTCCGCGGTGGGCTTGGGGTTTCTAATGTGTGGGGGTCCCAGTGCACCGTCGCGTAGCTCTGGAAGGCAGGTGCCTGACGGGGAGGGCCCGAGGCACGGGTTCCTCTTTTCCGGGTAAGGCAGACCCGTTAATTCCGAGCAGGCTGGGGCTTGCCAGGACTTACTGGCATCGACCTACCGCCCTGGAAACGCGGGTGCGGCCTCTACTGTTGGGTAACCCGGCTCTGGCCTGTAGAGCTCTAGATTACAAAATGCAGCAAGCTCTAGCTTTGGCAGGGTGGGGCTGGGGGACTACCGCATTGGGAGCCTTGAGGCTGATGTTTATGTAGGTGGTATATTTAGGATGTCTTAGGGAGGCAGCTAAAGCAACCAGGGGTCCTGTTGCATGCCAGCTCGCTGTATCTCTTCTCACCATCAGCACTGATTTTCAGCTTGTATGCAGAATTACTAAGGCTGGCTGCCAAAAGGGGAGGTAGAAGCCCTGAGCCAGGGCTTCCAGCTGCCGTTCTTGGGGAGGGGTAATGAATCCACTGGGCCCTCAAATTGGAATCTCAAAATCAATCTCTTTACTGAGACATCCTCACAGTCTCCAACCCGGACCCTGCCCCAGTGGGAGAAATACGATACCCCATCTCATTAAAGCCGAGAAGTCTTGGGGTTAGAAGGGAACACACAGAGGCCAACCTGGGCATCCTAAAGCCCAGGCTCGTCTCCCGCCACCACCCATACCTAAAGATGGCTTTTGGAGCCGTATAATAATTTGAGTGGGTTTGGGTTTCCAGCTTTTTGGAGGGGGAGGGGCTAGTTTGTTGTTTGGGTTTTGTGGGTTTTTTTTTTTAAGATTAATTTTATTATTTTTAAGTGTGTTTGTGTGTCTGCGGATATGTGTTGGTGAGTGCAGGTGCCCACAGAGGCCCCAGGTGTTGAATCCCTCTGGAGCTGGAGTTAGAGATGGTTATGAGCCACCTGACCTAAGAACTAGGAATTGAACTTGGATCCTCTTAAGAGCAATATGTGCTCTTAACCTTTGAGCCGTATCTTCAGCCTGTGTGTGTTTGTTTTGGGAGAAAGACTTTCTTGGTGCCCCTGGCTGGAACTGTGTAAACAAGGTTGACTGGGAGCTTGCAGTGATCTTCCTGCCTCTGACTCCCACTGATGGGATCACACCACACCCAGCTTGATTTTGTGTGAGTGTGTTTAAGGTGCTGGGAACCAAACCCTGAGAACTCAACTCCTGCTGGTCAATCACTGTGCCACACTCCTCAGGCCTAGAAGGCTTCTAGACACCAGCATCTGGGGCTAACTAAGTGGTTCAGCAGGTAACGGAGATTGCCCCAAGCCTGACGATCTGAGTATAATCCCCAGGACTCAGGTGTCCAAGGGAAGGAACCCACTGCCGTAAGAGATCTACACACGCATGTACATACACACACACACAGTGTTGAAAATGTTTCCTTTCACTGGGTGTGGTGGCATATATATGCCTTAATCCGAGCACTTGGGAGGCAGAGTCAGGCAGATCTGAGTTTGAGGACATAGCAAGGGCTGTGGTATAGAGACCCTGTCAAAAAATAAAAATAAAAATTGCTTTCAATGAATAAATCAGAAGAAACCAAAATCTGAGGCTGGAGAAATGGCTCAGTTAAGAGCACTTCCTGCTGTTGCAGAGGACCAGGGTTCAATTTCCAGCACCCACACAGCAGCTAGCAGCCCTCTAACTCCAAATCCGGGCCAGACGCCCTCTTCTGGCCTCCTTGGGCACTGCACACATGTGGTGCACAGACATCCATGCAGGCAAAAACCTACACACACAAAATTAAAATAAAATCTCAGCCGGGCGGTGGTGGTGCACGCCTTTAATCCCAGCACTCGGGAGGCAGAGGCAGGCGGATCTCTGTGAGTTCGAGGCCAGCCTGGGCTACCAAGTGAGTTCCAGGAAAGGCGCAAAGCTACACAGAGAAACCCTGTCTCGAAAAACCAAAAAAGAAAAACCAAAAAAAAAAAAAAAAAATCTCAAAGACAGGTGGTGGTGGTGGTGGCGGCGGCAGCGGCGGTGGCGCATGCCTTTAGTCTCAGCACTCAGGATGCAGAGGCAGGTAGGTGGGTCTCTGTGAGTTTGAGGCCAGCCTGGTCTACAAAGTGAGTTCCAGGACAGACAGGGCTGTTACACAGAGAAACCCTGTATCGAGGGAAAAAAAACAAACCTCAAAGACAAACAAAACCAGAGTCTGCGCTGCACTTTCTTATGATTTTTCAGGAAGCCCAGACTCTGGGCTGTGGAGACCAAAGCTTGGGTCCTGCCCTATGGAAAGTCTGGCAACTACGAGGTGCCAGGAGGTCCTGAGATGGGTTGCTGTGTGCCATTTTCTACTTTCTTGGTAGCCTGCTCTCAGGCCAGAGCAATGCAGTGCTGGACTGGAAACTGTTATGGGTGCGGAGAGAGGAAACCATCTGAGAATCAAGGATGGGCATGGGGTTGGAGGACCAGGGAGAGGTGGCTTAGCATAATAGCACCTTAGGACCTGAGGTAATGCAAGGCTCAGTGCCCTCTTTTGAATGGATTCCCAGAACAGAGCAGCTCGACTGCCCCCTCTGGTCTGTGTGTCCCTTGAACTTGCGGCTAAGTCCAGAGGCGATTAGCTATGTTTCAGGAGAAGCTGTTAATTCCAGTGGCCCTCTTTTACATTCCTTGTTATTGTCCAGCCTCCCTCCATCATTCTGTAGCACAAAACTGTTTTCTCCTTCTAGTTTCAGAAATTTTATTTATTTTAGGGCTGCAGGTGTAGCTTAATTGTGCACAAGGCCAAAGCATATCTCTAATCCCAGCACTTGGGGTGGGGGGTGGCGAGGCAAGAGAATCAGAAGTTTTTTTTTTTTTGGTTTTTTTTTTTTGGTTTTTTTTCGAGACAGGGTTTCTCTGTGTAGCTTTGCGCCTTTCCTGGAACTCGCTTTGGAGACCAGGCTGGCCTCGAACTCACAGAGATCCGCCTGGCTCTGCCTCCCAAGTGCTGGGATTAAAGGTGTGCGCCACCACCGCCCAGCAAGAATCAGAAGTTTTATGTTATTTTCATCTGCATATACAGTTGGAGGATAGTCTGGGCTACACGAGGCCTTGTCTCAAAAAATATATATATATATATATATTTCCCCCCCACACCTTAAAAGCATTTTAAGGGGCTGGAGAGATGGCTCAGGGGATGGTTGCTCACAACCATCTGTAATGAGATCTGGTGCCCTCTTCTGGTGTGCAGGAATACATGCAGACAGAGCACTGTATACATAATAAATAAATAAATAAATAAATAAATAAATAAATAAATAAATAAATAAATCTTAAAAAATAAAAATAAAAAATAATAATTAAAAAAAAAACATTTTAAAGGAGGGCTGGAGAGATCACTCAGCAGTTAAGAGCACACAGGCTGTTCTTCCAGAGGATCCAAGTTCAGTTCCCAGCACCCACATGGCAGCTCACACCTGTTTGTAACTTCAGTACCAGGGGATCTGGCACCCTCACACAGACATCCACGCAGGTGAAACACCAACGCACATAAAATAAAAATAAATCATTTTTTAAATTAATAAAAAGACACAAATGTCTTGAAAAAAATTGAGAGGCTGGGTGTGACTGGCAGAGTACTTGCCTAGCACATGTAAGAGTTAAATCTTAGCACCAGTAATGAATACCCAAGCGTAATCTCAGCACATAGGTGATTAAGACAAGAAAACAGAAGAGAAAAAAGGAAAGTTTTAGGGTTTGTGTGTTTGAGACAGAATCTCACTGCATAGATCAGGCTGGCCTCCCAACTCACAGAGATCCACCTGCCCCTTAAGTGCTAGGGTAACAGGTGTATGCCACCACACCCAGCTTAAGAAAAGAAAATTTTAAGGAAGAACTTTCCATTTGGAAAGGAGGAACCATAACTGATAGTTCATATTTCCTATGATTGTGTCAGCACAAGCCAGGATCCTCCTGGCCGATATTTACCTACCACCCCGCAGCTTCGGGCACCTTGTTAGCCAGGCAGTGGTGGCGCACGCTTTTAATCCAAGCACTAGGGAGGCAGAGCCAGGCAGATCTCTGTTAGTTCAAGGCCAGCCTGGTCTACAGAACGAGATCCAGGACAGGCACCAAAACCACACAGAGAAACCCTGTCTTGGAAAAAGAAAAAAAAAAGCTCTTTTCATATATTGCCTATTTGGTTTTTCTAGCAGTTCATTAGCTTCTGTTATTTTTTCTTAGGTATTTGATTTTATGCATGTATAGACATTTTTAGAACGAGTCCTTAGATATAGCTGGATTATTTAAAGGGTTTGTTAACTAGGCATGCTGGTTCATACCTGTAATGCCAACACTGAGGAGACAGGAGAACTCGTATCACTGCAAGTTCCAGACCAGTTGGATCTACATAGTAAACCCTGTTGTAAAAACAAACAACCGGCTGCGTAGAAGGCCCAATGGGAAATGTCTTACCCACCCCGCCCAGAACCCGTGTAAAAAGTGGTGCTGCAGCATTGCTTGTAACTCTGTGCTGGGGAGCGGAGACGGGAGGAGGTGTAACTCCACGACCAGCCAGTCTAGCTAAAACAGTGAGCTTCGGGTTCAGTGAGGGTATCTGGATGGATGGATAGATGGATAAAGGGATAGATAGATAGATAGATAGATAGATAGATAGATAGATAGAGAGGGTGAAGTGTTTCAGGTAAGACATTCCAATGCCAACCTCTGGCCTTCACATGTGCCCGAATGGACAAGTATACACACACACACACACACACACACACACACACACACACACACACACACACAATGGTGCTTGGGCTAAGAGGCTGCTGGGAGTAGGGGCAGCTTGCCATGTCCCAGCTTCCTGTTACTGCCTCTGGGAAACTGGCATGTTGCCCTTGGCTACAGCCAAGCATGATCTGTGACAGATGCTCCCAAGGCCAAAGAGTAAATGAAAGGTAAAGAAAGGGTAGGCACCCACCGCCCTGTCCCATTTGGTCCCCCACAGCTACTACCTATTCCACAGTGTATTGAGAAGTCTCCTAAAGCTGGTCAAAGGCAGCCGTGTCCCAGCCCTGGCCGGGCCAGAAGATGCTGGAGTTGTGATTTCTGACTCTCTTCCCATTTTATTTGATCCCAAGATGGTTCAGGTTTCAGAGTGACTGCCTGTCCTCTGAGGCCTCTCTTACAACACACCCAGGGCAGGGACAGCCCTGTGGACAGGTATTTCCACTCCAGAAAAACAGACTTAGCCCAGGCCATGAGATCAAGGCCAGACTGAACTAAAGAGTAAAATCCTGCCTCCAAAAAACCACAAAAGGCAGTGGTTTGAGGGTGATGGAAAGATGGTCTGGTGCTTCAGAGCACTTGTTGCTCCTAGAGAGAACTAGAGTTTGGATCCCAGCACGCACATCAGGCAGCTCACCACTACCTGTCACTCCAGTTCTAGAGGCTATGACACCCTACTCTAGTCTCTAAGAATGCCTGCCCTCACATGCACAATATAAATAAATAAGAATAAATCTTGGAAGCTAGGCAGTGGTGGTGTATGCCTTTAATCCCAGTACTCAGGAAACAGAGACTGGCGGATCTCTGTAAATTCAAGGCCAGCATGGTCTACAGAGCAAGTTCCAGGACAGCCAGGGCTACACAGAGAAACCCTGTCTTGAAAAAACAAAAAATAAATAAGTAAATATTTGGGGCGTGGGGGAAGCTGGGTATGTTAGTGCATACCTTTAATCTCAGCGCTCAAGAGGCAGAAGCAGATCTCTGAGTTGAGGCCGGCCAGCCAGCCTGGTCCACGTAGTAAGACCCTGCCTAAAACCAAAACAGACAAATCCTGGGCCTGTAGCTCAGAGTGCTTGCCTAGCATGCTCAAGACCTGGGTTTGAACCCCAGTACTGCATAAACTGGGTGTAGTGGTGTACACACAAATAAGTACACCCACATGCACACACAAAAATATGCAAGGGTGCTAGAGATATAGCTCTTGTATAGGTGGACTTTTCTTTCCCACCTGCCAGTTTCCAAATAACTGACACAGAGACTTAATTTTAATTATAAAGCTCATCCGATAGCTCAGGCTTGTTATTAGCTAATGCTTACATTTAAACAATCCATATTTCTTATCTACCCTCTGCCGCGTGGCAGTACCTTCTTTCAACACGGTGCGTTCATCTCACTTCTCTCTGCGTCCAGTATTCTCTCTGTCCCAAAAATCCTGCCTAGCTATCAACCAATCAGCTTTTTATTAATAATGAGAACAACACACTTTCACAGTGTACAGAGGATTATTCCACAGCACTCTTGTGCAAGGCCCTATTTTTTCCCCCAGTATTGAAAAGAAATAGTAAGATTCACATAAGCCATGTTTAGAGTGTTCAACAGCCACATGTGACTAGTAGCTACCATTTTGTGCACCATAGATATATTTCCACCCATGCAGAAAATTTTCTTAAGAATGCTCCAGAAACTGGGGCTGTAGTAGAGTGCTTGACTGGCATTCAGAAACTCCACACTCAATCATAGGCAGTCTCTGGGAGTTACAGACCAGCCTGGTCTGTATAGTGACTTCCAGGCCAGCTGGCCTACACAATGGGACTCTGTCTTTAAAAACAACAAAAAATCCTGCACCAGAAGTTACACTTGTATCAGCCATGTGCTTTGCCTGGGTTACTGCAAGAGCTCTCCAGTCTGTTTTCTTAACCTCAGTCTCTTCCTCCTTCAGAAAAGTGGTCTTTGTGTCTGTTTTGTTTTGTAGGTGGTGGTGGTGGTGGTGGTGGTGGTGGTGGTGGTGGTGGTGGTGGTGGTGGTGGTGGTGGTGGTGGTGGTGTGGTGGTGGTGGTGGTGGTGTGGTGGTGGTGGTGGTGTGGTGGTGGTGGTGGTGGTGGTGGTGGTGGTGGTGGTGGTGGTGGTGGTGGTGGTGGTGGTGGTGGTGGTGGTGGTGGTGGTGTGGTGGTGGTGGGACAGGTCCTCAGAGACAGCATAACCAGTTACAAAAATCTACTAGACCCTTACCCTTGGGAGGCAGACATCCTTAAGCTTTCATGACAATCCAAACCCTCTTATTTTTAAACTCCAAAATTCTGTTTCCTTTGATTCATGTTTCCTGTGTGTCTCTTTGCACAGTACATTAACTCCCCGTGCAGCTTTTACTAACAGTGCCTGAATTGGATGAATAGCGGGAGTTCACCAGGCGAATTTCAGCAATTGATTTTTTTTTTTTTTTTCATTTCTGAGCAGAGAGCATGCTAAGCATGGCCGCGGTCAGCCTTCAGGGGCCACTTCCTTCTGAAGTCTTAACCTTATCTCACTACTACAAGCTGACCTTGGTTTTGAGGCCTCATTTCCCTGCCTGTGCCCACAAGGGGAACAAGGTGATTCTGAATGCTCTGGGCTTTGGGAGTAGAACACCAGCCCCCCTGAGATACTGTCAAGCACAGCTTGGTTGTTGCCTGGACTCCTAAGACTTCCCCTCCCCCGCCCTCACCCCAGAGGGCTGCCCCTCTATCCCACTCCATCTGGCTCACAATGGTGAGTGAGCCTCAGGATATGATCCTCCCAGGATATACTTCTTCCAGTCTTACCTCCTATGAGGTTTTTTAATTTTTATTTTATGTGTATGGATGTTTTGCCAACATGTACACATGTGCACCATGTGTGTGCCTGGTGCCAGAGAGAGCATTAGATCTCCTGGGACTGGAGTTACTGTGAGTCAACATGTGTGTGCTGGGAATCAAATCCGGGTCCTCTGGAAGAGCAGCCCCTGCTCTTAACCACTGAGCATTTCTCCAGCCTCCTCCTAAAAGATTTTAGCCCGGCGGTGGTGGTGCACGCCTTTAATCCAAGCACTTGGGAGGCAGAGGCAGGCAGGTCTCTGTGAGTTGGAGGCCAGCCTGGTCTATAGAGCAAGTTCCAGGACAGCCAAGACTGTTATATAGAGAAACCTTGTCTTGGGGGAAAAAAAAAAATTATCTTCATCTCTATTTCCCCAGCATGGAAACAGATTCTCTGTGTGTTGGTTGAATGAATAAATGAAAAACAGAAGCTTTTCCTGTCCACTCATTTGGTCTTCCCTCTCAAGCACTTACACTCCAAAATACTCCATTGGTTGTCCTTTTGACACAGATTGCCTATCTTTTCCAGCTTTTATTTAGTTGGTTGGTTGGTCTTGTTTTGTTTTGTTTCCCCAGAGACAGGGCTTCTCTGTGTGGCCCTGGCTGTCCTGGAACTTTCTCTGTAGACCAGGCTGACCTCAAACTCACAGAGATCTGCCTGCATCTGCCTCCCAATGCTTAAAGTGTGCACCACCATCCTGGCTGCAAATTGCCTGTCTTAAAAACTAGATTCTAGGGGCTGGAGAGATGGCTCAGCGGTTAAGAGTACCCAGGTTCAATTCCCACCACCCACATGGTAGCTCTTAACTGCCTGTAACTCCAATTTCAGGTGATCAGACACCTTCACACAGATATACATGCAGGCAAAACATGAGGGCACATGAAATAAAAATAGATAAATTATTAAAAACAAAAACCAGGTTCTACCCTGAAGACGGAGAACTTGTCTTGCGTTTATGTGTAATCTCAGCACCTGGCCACCAACAGTAGCGTTGTCAAGTCTCAGAGCAGTTAAAGGCCAGAGTTAAACTGGGTGTGGTGGCATACACACCCCCGTAATCTCAGTATTGGGAAGGCAGAAGTAGGAGAATTCGGGATAGCCTGGGCTACATAGTAAGCCCCAGTTTCAAAATAAAAAACAAAGCCGGACTTGGTGGTTCCTACCTGTAACCGGTCCTTCAGGAGGCTAAGGCACGAGGGTCACTGAAAGTTCAAGGCCAGTTCATAGGAGTTCAGTAGGCAAAGCCTGATGACTGGAGTTCAGTCCCCAGAACCTATACAGTGGCAGGAGAGAACCAGCCTCTACAAGCTGTCCTCTGACCTTCACACACAGGCCGTGGCACACATTCATGCACACACACACACAAATAAATGTCATTTGAAAACAGTATTTAGTTCGAGGCCAGCCTGATCTATAGAGTGAGTTCCAAGACATCCAGGGCTTCACAGAGAAACCCTGACTCAAAGGGAAAAAATAAAAATAAAAACAACCAAACAGAAATGCTTAATATGTAAAACAGGCCAGAGTCGTGGGGATGGAGGGCAGGTAGACCCGAGAACTGACTGACCAACAGTGGTTTGCTTTGCTCCCCAGGGGGCTGTTGTGGTTCCGACTATAAACAGTATGTGTTTGGCGGCTGGGCCTGGGCCTGGTGGTGTATCTCGGACACTCAGAGGTAAGGGCCCAGGGGCTCTGGAGTCTGTCATCCTGGTGGGTAGGAAAGGGATGTCCAGTGGGCCCTCTCTTTTCACCACACAGCCAGACAGAGCATCTCCCATCCCACCTTCCCTCTTGGGGGAGGAGGCCCCCGTGAGGAGAGACAGGAATGGGCTGCTCAGGGATATAGGAGGCACACACCAGGAAGAGCTGTCCTGTGAGCCTGTCTTAGTTGGTTTTTTTGTTTTGTTTTGTTTTGTTTTATTGTAATAAAAACCATGACCAAAAGCCACTTGGGGAAGAGGGAAATGATTTCAGCTTACAACTCTCGGGTCACACTCCATCACTGAGGAAGTCACAGCAGGAACTCAAAGCAAGAACCTGGAGGCAGGAAGTGATGCAGAGCCTATGGAGGAAGAATGCTTACTGACTTGTTCCCCAGGGCTTGCTGAACCATCCAGGACCACCTGCCCAGGGTGGCAACACCCATAACGGGCTGGGCCCTCCCACATCAATTACAAATCAAGGAAGTACCCAATAGACTTGCCTACAGGTCGGTCTACGGAGACATTTTCTCTATGAAGATCTCCTCTTTCCGGGTATGGCTAGGTTTGTGTCAAGTTGACAAGAAACAGTCAGCACAGCTCTCCCCTCCCCATTTACCGAGTGTTCGTTCCAGTTGGAAGTGGTTCTGCTTCTGTCCCAAAGACTGCAGGTCATACCCAGGCAGAATCTAGTGTCTGTACATTAGCTCAGTTACTCAGAAAGGCTTGCCAGGCTCACGTCTGCCGCCCCAGCCTTCAGGAGGACTGAGCTGAAGGACTGCCGTAAATGCGGCACCAACCTAAGCTACAGAGTTCCAGTCCAGGTTGGCGTACACAGAAAGACCCTGTCTCAAAAAGATCTTAATTATACCTGACATGCTAGCACAGATTTGTAATCCTAAGCACTTGGGAAGTGAAAGCAGGAGAATCAGGAGTTCAAGACCAGCCTGAGCTACATATGAGTTTGAGACCAACCTGGACTGCTTGAAACCCTGTCTCAAACAAACAAAAAAGTCTTAATTATACAGAGGGAGGAAACATCAGGCAGAACCTACACACATCCTCTCCTGTACTGGCCTAGGGACAGTTCCCACAAGAGTCCGAATGGATGTACAGTCAGATGTGATCTGTAACAGCAGTGGTCTAGGGATATAAGAAATTTCTGCTGGGGTCTGGCAAGACAGTCCGGAATCCTAAGTCAGTATGGAGACTCTCCAGACTGAAGCATAATAAACATAATAAAGGCAGAGAAGTGTTGGCTCCCATAGTGTCCACCATCCACCTCTCCCTGCTGGTGCCTCCAGAGCTCAGCACAGGGCCAGATCCAGCCTCCCCTGCTGCATCAATGCCTACAACCCAGGAGCATTCCAGCCACCATACCTCATGGTAGAATATGGGGCTGGTATCCCAAGGAGGTAGCAGTGGAAATTCCAGCAGAAATCCCCCTCCCCAGCTCCCACCAATCAGCAAAGAGCCCCGTGTCTGCATGATGTTGCTGGTGCTTGAAGCTCTTGGGTGTCTGCGCGGCATCCTAAGCTGAGGTATGGGAAGCATGACTTTCTAACATCACTGATTCCCAGTAACCCCCTCCACTCTCCTGTCTTCCCCTTTACTCTATTTTTGCTACCTAAGGGATCCTGAGGGACTCTTCTCTCCCAAGACCATCAATGTCATAATCAGCCACAGTTTCCACTTCAGAGAGTCCTAGGCACACCTGGCTGGATCAGCTAGCCTGCCAGAAGGCATGGGGTCACCCTCCAAAGACACCCACACACCAGGCCCAGACAGCTAGACCTGGCCAGAGATTGGTCCTGTACGGCTAGCTGTTGCTGAGGCAATGGCCGTGCGTTCCTGTTCTCTCCATCTCAGGTCTCCTCCTCCTTACCCCAGGGAGCAGAGCTCCAAGACAGGAAGGCTAAGTTTCCCTGACAGACAGCAGGTAGGAGGTGAGAGCTGACCTCAGGTTCACCATGCTCGCTCTGGGTGAGCAGGCTTCCCCTGCAGCTTCCTCCCTCTTTTCCCCTTTCTGGAGTTAGCCCCTTCTCCAGCCCCTAGCCCACGTGTGGGACATCTCCATAGCTGGCTACCTTTATTTTCCTAGCCTGGCAGGAGCCTTCTGGGGCAGAGCAGAGACCTCTAACCTAGTGTGGTGGCCAACTCAAGAGACTAGACCTGAAGTTCAACACAGAATTGGGGTACAGAGAGTTCTTGACTAGCAGGCTAGTCTGTAGACTCTTAAACAGAAGGGGAGTGGGTCTGGAGGGTTGGCTTGGTGGTAAAGAACATAAAGAACACATATTGCTCTTGCAGAGGACCCAGGTTCAATCCTAACCACCCACATAGCCGCTCACAACTATCTGTAACTCCAATCCAAGGGGTCTGATGCCCTCTTCTGACCTCCTTGGGAACCAGGCATACACGGTACACAGTCATACATGCAG